ACATGCATGGTACCGAGGAAGGCGTACCACTGACGAGACCCAGGAGGTGAATCAGCTGTCTGGTGCATTTCCAAACGTGTCTGAACCTGATGAATGGTGGGGGGACTGCGACGAGCTACCTTTGGAATTACACCCAAAGTCCCACTACTAAGTAACAACTTTAATTAGTTGCTTGGCCATCGCGCACAAAATATTTGAGAGAACACGCACGAGACATTTTGCGAACAGCTTGTAAGCGAATTCCAATTCTTAGTTTTAGGGAACTTGGTGCTGCATTTGGTATATGTTGAAGCAGGTATGTTCGACAGTACGCATCCGATGCAAAGTTAAAGTTGTAAAAATGACGTTGGTGACGCGCAAGTAATCCTGCGAAACATATTCCTGACAAAAAGTAAGTAATCCGACTTGTTCCTTTATCACTGGAAAACTGTGCTTTTACGATGTATTAAAACTTGTGTGTAATCGGCTTGGGATTGGTATCTTTGGGAGTGAGTGAGTGTGCAAATGGGTGTGGTTGTGCGCGTGTGTGTGTACGTGTATGTGGAAAATCCGAGATCTCTTATTTCAGGTGAACATGTTTTGACGCATCCTGATGTATCGGGACCGCAAGTTTCATCGACACTAAAAATAGGGGGTTTTCTTTGCATAAATCAAATACACACAAGTTTGTAATAAGGAAGTGTGCTTTTAGATTTCTCTTGATCAGCGCGGGATGTAAAATGCTTCCCTTCTTATAACATTCTGTTCCTTAAAACGGGCCATCATCCGAAAGATCCAGTGCCTAAGCTAAAATTTTACCAGACGACAATTCTCTTGGCCTACAGCCTACGGAACAACGTTCACAATAATCTTGCGAATTTGCAGATGCAACAATTAGAAATAGCTCATCTTTTACTGGGTAAGGTGTCGGTCCTAATTATTAACGTGTACAAATCTTTCACAGTGACATAGTCGGACTGACCATTTCGTCTGATGGATGCGCACTACCGATGATGCCCGAAACGCTGAACCTGAAGTTTAGTAATTTCTGAGCATGTGGGAGACTATCTGATTTGGAGGTTGGTGCGATAACCACTCACTTAGTTACATCAGAGTTCCCTTACTTACGAGTAGATGGAAATGGATACTCCCCGACTCTTTCACTTAATAGTAGAGAGCAGAAAGATCTACTGTCAACATTATCACCTCCCATTCACACCAAGGATTAGTTGGTCATCGCGAGACAGAAATCCGCAGAGGGCCGTCGAAGTCCCAACGGATGCACCAAGATCTCGGCCTATACAGCAAGTAAGAATCCCATAATGTTTTGAAACCTTCTGTTTGTACGTCAACGACGAACCCCAGCAAACGGTTCCAATTATTCGCCACACGGGTGGAATAGAGCATGAATAGTTCACACCAGGAGCCTCCTCTGTTTGATTATTTTCCATTTGTGACCGCTAGTCGAAGTTCCAACACTGAGATGAAAGAACTCTTGCAGCTGTCCCCCATTTCTCCTCTAAGGATACGTGGAGTGAAAGTTGCATCTTCACGGCGGTGACGGTAAACCAGAGAGAGGAGATTCAAATGTTGGATAGTGTAGGTCAAGCAAATCAAGAACAGATGTAAAACCGCGCCGTTGGACCATCTCAGTCATGTTACATTCGAAACTGCTGAGAGGATAGGGGGCAGGAAAACCGTATTCAAGGATCGGACGTACATGCAATGTGAACAGGAGTCGGAAATGCATTAGAGTCAGGCGGCAGTAGCTTCTTCGGATGGCATGGAACATCCTATAGGCAGCGGCGACTGTCTTCAAGATGTCTTGAGTTGACCTTAGGTCGGGAGACACGATTATGTAGAGATCTCTCCCATGACTGGCATTTTTGAGTTAATAATCGCCCATGTGATAGGCCTTGAATGGTTCAGTCGCGCCAATACCAAAAACAGAACACTTTATTAATAGCCCATGGCCACTGCATCGAGCAACACTGCAGTATACCAAGCGACACTTGTACTCCATCAGCATCCTGGATGCTGGAGAGCTCCAACCACAGCTTCAGATCACCTGCGTATATCAGGTAGTCGGACTGCAGCACAGACGACAGGTCGTTAATAAAGATGCTGAGGAGCTCAAGATGGAGAACAGAGTCCTCCTGGACACCGCTCGCCATGAGTACAGAATCAGAAAGCGTTTCATTAACTTTTACTTGCATAGGGAGACCGATCAGGGAATCAGATATCCAGGGGAGGAAATTCCCAGTGATGCCGATTCCTCGGAGTTTGGAGAGGTGCCACTCATATGGGATCTTGTCAGAAGCTTTGTTAACGTCGACGGACACAACATCCAAGCGTTTCCCCAGATCTAGTGATTAGAACCCACTTCTCCTTGGCCACGAGCCGGTTCATCGTGCACGAGCGAGCCCTTTGGAAACCATTCTGGGCACAAGAGCTGAAATTCAGCTCCTCGGTGTGAAGGTGGAGAGCACGTTTCAGAATCCTTTCCATTACTTTACATAATACCAATGTTAAACAAACCGGGCGACAACTAACTGGATCCTGACGGCTCCCTTCTTTGTATATGAGCTTGATAATGCACTCCTTCCAGGTATTCGGAAGACGTTCGGACTCAAAGGAGTGATAAAAGACCTGCAAGACAGGAGCAGAAATGTGTTTGGTCACAGTTTCAAGGGACAGGGGGTGTAGAACACAGGACTAAACAAGAAAAACCGATATAAATGAAGCAACGTTTTAAAATATTATCACGGTTAATATCTACATATGCCAATATGGAGGGAGGAGAGGACACAAGGTTGACAGGGCAAGGCGATTCTTTCGAGTAGGTATAAGAATAGTGTTGGGCAAGGAGACCGGATTTTTCATAGTCATCGTAAACTAGAGCGGCATGCTCACAGGGACCTAAAGCTGGGATGTTACTACCGGCTCTGGCGCTACGTTTGTGGCATTAGAACAGTATCTTAGGGTTGGCTCTAGAGATCGAATCAAGTGGCAATTCGTGTTATAGATGTTTCTCGCATTTCTGACTGTTTTGCATTGCGAATAAGCAAGCTCCGCTCACGTAAGCTTGAAACGGTCCCACAGTTTGTATGCAGTAGAGATTTCAGTTCCCGGCCAATCCAATGTGCGCCGCTGCAGACGAGTCTCATTTTGGAGATGGGGGTGGTCTGTTCAATAATCGATGTCAGCTTAGAGTACAGTAAATCCCATGCATCATCAACATTGAGATGTTTAAGTATATCCGGTCGACAACGCTTGCGGATGTTTTGAGATGATGTGTATCAGCAGATCAGAACATTTGATGGAACTCACGTTGATTGTAGACAGCGAAGCGGCGCGTCCACTGGAATGAGATAGCACAGTGATCGCTTTTGACAACAGGAAACAGTGATAGCCGAATTAGAGAATCTTTGCAGGGACTCAGATAGTTCAGGACAATTCTCGCGGCAGGCAATATGCATTCATCCGTCACACTTAGAGGACTGTACGGTCTTCAGACGCGAGATCACCGCTTTACTGCAGTTCAGTCATTTGGACGGCATAGCTCAACTTAGAGCAAGATCTGTAGACACAACGGGAGTTAACATGTACTACCCGGATAGCTCTTTCTCCACGAAAAATTAAAGGAAAAACCTCACAAGAGCCGAGAAATCAGAAAGGCCGATGTTAAGAAAAAAAGCTAACCTAATTGGATCAGTTTGGAAGGAATGTGGGATCTGCGCTAGATTAAGGTGCCATTGCCACTGAACTGGATCTAACATATGCCTAAATAGTGTTGCCTGTAGGCACTCCATTTGTGCTTGTAAGATGCGTGCAGTGGTACATCTCGAGGGCTTTCGCGTCCAGCGCGCAGTAAGAGACCGCAGTACAGCAAACGTGAAGGTAAAGAGAAGAGGAAGGATCAGTGGCCGTGTAAGTGAGGTTCAACAACCTCCTCACCTTGGGGACCAGCGCAAGGTCACACTCAGACCTGTTTTACTCTTCTCGTACAGACGAGTGCATGCAAGCCGCAACGTGATCCAATTACCGTGACTGATTCTTTAGCTGCCGGTAATGCTTCAACAAGAAACTATGAAACCCGCTATTCCGAGAGAGTGGGAAAAGAACATCCTTCTGTAATAGGCAATGGTTAAACAATAGCCTCTCATTTTTCACCAAATTCATTCATGTCGAGCGTAATCAGCATTTCGTGTGGTTCATCCACGTCAGTAAAGCAAGTCACTGCATGAATAGTATGGCAATACAGTTGTAAAGCGGACAAGACCAGCTATACGCAAAAGTCTCTGTTTTTGAAAGAGGCATGGTGCAGTCCGCAAATTGCGAGTTTCAGTCATGTGTATTCCAAACTTGGGATACAGTTCAATCTGCTTGTACTTGGAAACGAATAGCTGGTTACACGCAAAAGTGAGGACAACTTCTGTAGCGTAGTTCGTTTACTGGGAAATACATTTGCTTATACTTCCTAGCTAAAAATTTTGGGTATAATAAAAAATCCTTAGTTGTGGATCCATAAATTTCCTTGTGGACCGGGGAATGTGAATGGCAAAATTGCAATGTCTCCTGTGCCGGTGTCTCCAACACCAGTGGGGTGATATTGACTAGTCCACTAGTAATGTCATCTGGTGTGGGCATGATCATGAAAAATAATAACGTACCTTGTAATAAATGAATAGGGTTGATACAAACTAACAAAAACAATTATTAATCGAAAGCAACCGATACATATTTCGACAAATGTGAACGAAACAACATTATTGTCGTGAAAAATGACCACGCCCATAGCCCTGAGTGCGCCAATTAAACGCCTCTGTACTATCATAAATGAATAAATAGCCCTGTCCAAATGACAAACACGCGATCACAACCTATCATCATGACAATGAGAAACTTCTACATCTTGCTATTTTGTGAGTTTCCCACTCAATATTCCGTTATCACTTTTCTGATGTCCGATTATTTGCAGGTTTATCACAGTGAACTCTAGAACATCACAGAATCAGTAGCATTTGGTGACATGTAGGACCCTATTAATCAACTTGAGTAACAAGCTGAAGGAAATATTACATGAGTTTTGATAACTGCAAAACCACACAGAAACTAGAGGATGGTAAATTGCTTGGGGCTGCACTGAGGTTGAATAAGCTAGCAAATGTTATTTTACGGTTATAACCGTGGAATTTCCGTTCGTTTGTCTAGGTTACACTATTTAAATGAAAGCAAGCTGTCACTTGAAATACATACAGAACAGATGAACAAATGCATACCAATTAAATGATTGAACAATTTTGGTCCCCATATCCGTCTTTGAGTACAAATCTCGTGAACTATTAAGTATACGCGTTTAGAATGAAAAACAAATGCAGCGCAACAGTTAGGCAGTATCGTGGATCAATCAAGTCGAGTTGTGAGGATCATTAGAACTAACAGAATGCTTGTTATACACCGCCGCTCATCGGGTTGAAATGGTCACCAAATATTGCGTGGTAAGGGTGAAAAAATTCCAACACGCTATATATCATCAGTCTACGAATAGACAAACAGCCGTCCAAACCGTGGAAATCAGACGTAGGTGCAGCTATCATTAAATGAAAACCCAACACAGCGCAAAAAATCCATGGTTTTGTTAGAGGGCAAGATACTATCCGGTTGCCCAAACTGAAATAAGGTGATGGCTTATAGGTCACCGTCTCAAGCCCTTATCTAAATAGTCTGCTTGCAAGGTAGCGAAATGAATTCACGGAATCTTGCACCTTGGAAGCCGCTGACTGATTGCTAAGTTCATGGCTCTTTCGTTTGGTCGCTTAATAAACAGGGGCCCAATCCGCCCCACAAATTGAGCTTCGCGTTGCTGGATCCAATGCTCCACCCGAGTGAAGCTAGAAGGCAGTGACTGTATTTAGTGGCGAGTCGCACCCACCAGGTCGGAGCGTCGTTAAACAGATATATGCGGCTTTATTTAAGGAAGGAGGCTTGCCAGGCGAAAAATCACCACGCCCTGGAACACTGCTACCGAACTACTTGCTGGAACGGAATAAATCCGCACCACGTAGCTGGCACCACGAGATGGTTGCTCCGCAAGTCAACTCACACTGTACAGTCATTTATACAAATAACATTTTGTTGAATAATTCGGTATATTAATGGAGCCTGGTCGCATTTTCTCAAGCAAATAAGTATGTGCCTTTGATTTGCTTGCTAGTATAATCAATGACAGAATCAAACGTGCAAAGTAACCATTCTTCTATTCATTTTACAGTCCTGTCCGCTGCAGTTGGCTCGCCAATTTTCTCGAACAGTAAGTAAACGTTTTGATGGTATATGTCAGCAAAATGTAGGTGCTAATGAGGCTTGGGCTTTAACGATACTAATGGAAGAATGTTAAGCAGAAATTGAGATTTAAAATATAATACCTTAGAATATACTTACTGATGGTATGGTGGATCAGGCAATGGTTATCAGAAGCCGCGATAGAATAGTCCCATTTGTCGAATAATTGAATGAAACAACCTGCAGAACTAATAGATAAAAAGAAGGGAAACTCTACGTCGCCACCCAAGCAATAAATGCAAGCAGTGACATTTAAGAAGAATACCAAGTACAATACTATGGAGAACAGCAAGAGTGGCTGGATCAAACGTGTATTGACAAGAGCTACAAGGAATGGATATCAGGTAGGCAAGATCAGAGAGAAGCATAGCAGCGCCACTCACCGAGGAAGAGAAAGTGAATGGGATGTACAATTACTAAGCCAAATGCATGATGGGAAGCTGCAAAAGCCCATAACTACTGCGTCGTAAAATACTGAAGGCGTAAAAGTTTTATGTTCAATGCAGGGTTCCCCACCCGGAAGGATGTATGAGGCAGGCAACCGATAGTGGTGTCATGTGGGGAGACAAATGAGGACGGGAGATTATGTTAGCAAATGGAGTGAGCGTATGCACCAGAGAAAGAAAACGTATAAAACTAGTTGAGTCCAAGCTAACTTGTTCTTTTTACTTGTTATTTGGGTATGGACTGCAGCACATCATTTGTGCACCGTCAACAAGGGCTCCTCGGAATACACCAAATACTAGATAGTCTAGAAAAAGAGAAGATATTGCATTACTTTAACTACAAACACAATAGTGCGCTTGGGAGATGTCATTCCACAATCGCGCCCCAGTCCGTGACAAAAACGAACATCATCCCACGGAGGATTCTGGGTGTCTGCGTTGGAAAAAATTAGCTGATCACTTGCGCGTTAGATTAGCTGTTGTCATTATCCGTGTAAAGAGAAGAGCAAGGTCCTGAGACCTCAGATCAGAAGACGCCATGGTTGTTCGGGTGACTAAGTTCTATGACATAAAACAAGGAGATAGTGCGGATGTAGTCAGGACAGACAGCGTTACGCCGCTTTCAAAAATGAGACAAGTATATGTAGTCAAATTGATCACTTCTGTTTTAACTTTGGCACTTCCGTCCATTTGCAAAACATTTGGGAATTAAACACACGAGAACCTCCAACGGTGGCAAGCAAGCATGTGAAGATAATTAGCACTGATTAACCAAAGCTGAAAAGCGGACCAGACGTTTGAACTGTCTTCCGTGTCGGTCATTTGCCCGGGATTGTTGTTGAGTTGGTGTAGTCTCAACAGTAACAGAGAAAGCTGGGTAATTGTGCGGGAGATATTACTGCAGGTAAATGTGCCTGTGCAGTAACAATACATGAGGTTGGAGGCGGATCACTGAGGAAAACAATCTTGGGGTAGTTGATGGACGCCGTTTGGCGGTGTTCATTCTGTTTTAAGATAAATGTTCTGTAGTAGTTTGGAGACATTTGAAGGACCTAGTATAGAGAGGCTGAAGAGGACGACGCACTGAGTCAATGCATACGAAAACATGAGTACAGGTGGATAGTGCACTGTGCATTTGCACATTCATGTTCTCCTCACTAGGATGCCTCGGGCATCGCTTGCGCATGCATTGAGAAAGGGAAGATACAACCTGAGATAATGGCATTCACAACGGCGAGGAAGCAAATTAGAGTCCCTGACAGCTTTATTGATTGGCTGCAAGCTAGATTTGCTGGTGCAAACTGCAGGTCAGAATTGATGCTGCTGCGAATGCCCAGAAGTACCAACAAATATGTTTGCTCTAGTCAGGGTCAGATGTAGTACAGAGAAAGGACTGGATCTATGGATGAATGCGTTCGAATAGGCCATTAGCCGCAGCTTGATATGTCGTCCTGTGTATGAGGTGTATCATATGAGGATACAGTAAGTAACGACAAACGGAGAATCGAACGGTATTCCACGGTCTTTTGTGATGTTAAACGGGTATTAGTAGTGGAACAACTAACCGGCCAAGAAGACACGGCTAGCAGGTTCGGCTTTGTAGCTTGGCGTATTGATGACTTCTGGCCATCTACTGAAGCGCTCGACAACAGTTAGTATAAATCAAAATTCACGAGGTGGCAAGGGTCCTATTAGGTGTGTGCGCACGGGGTAACTACGAATCCGAAGGAAGGAATGAGCCGAGAGGACTACGGTTGTGTCGAGGTACGTTGTTGAGTAAGTATGGAAAATAAGCCCGATTCCAATACGGTGATCTTTATTATGGCATAGCTAAGCGAAACTCCCAGTGACAAATTCTGAAGGTTTACGAATACCAGGATGACACAATGAGTGGAGATTGTCGGAAACTGCTTCAGATATCGGAAAGCAAGATATGCACAAGACAACCTGTGAGGGTGTCACAGATGGTAGTTCTGTCCGTAGATTGGCGAGGAACAGGTAACAGGTGCATTGAATTGGACAGCAAATCGCGTTGGATCTTATCGTTTTTGGTTTGAGCCGATGTCATTACTGCGAGTTCAACTGTACGTAATGAGCAAGGAGCTCGTTAGAGGCGAGTGAGTTTGTCAGTGACAGGATTTGCGTCAACGGAGACATGACGTTTATCAGCAATGAACTTTAAATTACAGTATAAATGTCTAACTTCCAGCAGGGAAATTTATCTGAAAATAAGTTAAAAGTGCAACTGAGTAAGTTGTGCTTAGCGTAGGCTGTAGAGCACCTCGTTCTAATTCCTTTCCTTTGTGGCGTAAATCGGAATGGATGGCATCCAGTTCTCTACCGAATGCAATGTGGTGGGATTCTGCTAATTGCAGCAGTTTGGAGAAGAAGCAAAGGTTTGCCACTCCGCAGCAGCATACTGGTAGAGAACAGCACCCGCCGCAGCATCTGAAACGTTGGTTGTAGGAAAAATACAGGCTCAACTTTCGGGTGAAGCAAGCATAGAAAGAAAGACAAGCCTATAAATAAAAAAGAACTTCCAAATGAATTCATAAACTTTAAAATAAAATTTACCCATGGAATTTAACACATCAACAAGCGCAGTATATTTCCGAACAACATAGTAGAATCGCTAACTGCCATGAAAGTAGTGTGTGTGTTGCGTCACTAGGAACGAAATAATATTAGTAAACTGCAATTGGGAATCATGCAAGCTGGGCCTATGTTTCAGTGCAATCACAGGAAGCGGAGAACCAGGTACAAGTGGAAGTGCAATCCGAGGTTGCACCCGAAGCACCCGCGGGATCCGTAGGCAAGACAGAAACTGAAGCGCAACAGACAGCACAACCTGAAGCAAAGCCAGAGGTTGAACCGGAGGTGCCACAGGAACCGGTGCAAGTACCCGAAGAGGAAGCTGCTGCCAGACCCGAGCAACCCAATGAAATCGGTATGTTGAACGAATTTCACTTGGTGTTGCTTCACATTTTATGTTCATCTACATACACTACTCACGACACGTTGCTCCAACTCTGAAGTTGATCTCACTGGGTTTGGTTGCATTGCTCACGAAACTTCAGTGATGACCCGCAGAGTTAGACCTGCAGATTTATACTACCGGCAGTATTGATACAGTGCTTTTGCAATTAGGTATAATTTCGTCACATCTAGGCTCACTCAGACAGCCGCCACAAGCCCGGAAAAGCACTGTACGCGCGTTTCATCCTTTCGGGAATCATCAGCAGTGCGCATTCCATCGGACCCTTGGTAGGGCTCGAAACCGCAACTCGACTGTTGCCAGTCCGTGGTTGAGACCACTGAGCTACGGGGGACGGCAACGACCATCGTGAATAAGTTACTAGATGTGATATAGCGCCGCTCACTATCCACTGACTTACACGTTACTGTCGTGCAGAGGACAGGGTAGCCCCCTCAACAAGCGACGAGCTTAACAAACTTAAGCCGCCAATTATCTTATGGCATTATAAGCAGTTTGTTCTGTGTACTGATTGCAGAAGAGTAGTAGGGGGAGTTGAATGGTATAGGTATAATTTCGTCACATCTAGGCTCACTCAGACAGCCGCCACAAGCCCGGAAAAGCACTGTACGCGCGTTTCATCCTTTCGGGAATCATCAGCAGTGCGCATTCCATCGGACCCTTGGTAGGGCTCGAAACCGCAACTCGACTGTTGCCAGTCCGTGGTTGAGACCACTGAGCTACGGGGGACGGCAACGACCATCGTGAATAAGTTACTAGATGTGATATAGCGCCGCTCACTATCCACTGACTTACACGTTACTGTCGTGCAGAGGACAGGGTAGCCCCCTCACCAAGCGACGAGCTTAACAAACTTAAGCCCCTACTACTCTTCTGCAATCAGTACACAGAACAAACTGCTTATAATGCCATAAGATAATTGGCGGCTTAAGTTTGTTAAGCTCGTCGCTTGTTGAGGGGGCTACCCTGTCCTCTGCACGACAGTAACGTGTAAGTCAGTGGATAGTGAGCGGCGCTATATCACATCTAGTAACTTATTCACGATGGTCGTTGCCGTCCCCCGTAGCTCAGTGGTCTCAACCACGGACTGGCAACAGTCGAGTTGCGGTTTCGAGCCCTACCAAGGGTCCGATGGAATGCGCACTGCTGATGATTCCCGAAAGGATGAAACGCGCGTACAGTGCTTTTCCGGGCTTGTGGCGGCTGTCTGAGTGAGCCTAGATGTGACGAAATTATACCTATACCATTCAACTCCCCCTACTACTCTTCTGCTTTTGCAATTCTAGGAGTGTATGAGATGAATAATTTTAGGTAGTTTAATGCCCAATAAAACCCCATGGTTTATTGGTCTGTGTGACGGCCTGATTGGATGTGCGTTTAGGTTCTTTCGAGGGATCGATACACCTGGTTAGCTAGACTTCCGTGTTCCACTACTGTCTCTAACCTGAGCACGTCTGTCTGTGGATTACCATCCTCGGTGTTGCAGAACTCAGTCCTTCATAGGCAAGCGTTTATCCAACAAAGATAACCCAGCGAAAATTACAGTACCTTTGGCAATCCAAAATCCTAGATATAAGTTACGCTTTCACGTCCATAACTAACGACCGTTCTGATTCAATGGGGTTATGAATGTCGGCCAATCCAAGTCCAGCAATCAAAGCAGTTACACGCACCTCCTATTGGCTATCTGGCTCGCTTGGTTTACCCGTCCGTTCACTCCGGTGGGACACTCTCATCACGCTTGGGTCCATGTCTATCCATCTGGTGGTCGGCCATTTCTTGCTGGCTGTCTGCGGTTCATATCCAAATTTGGAAAAACGTTTCGCCTGTATGCGCGACTTGTTTGGAATTGCCATACGGCGGCGAGATTTTCTCAACTATTAGCTTGGAATCTACTTTAGATTTTGCTCTCGCGGATGCTAATCACTGCTGGAGTTAATATGGCGGCGCTTGGTTTCACATTCGACCCCTATTCAGTAGATGCCTCTGGGAATTGGCTTGGTAACAGTACTGGCAGTCCGGATGTTATGTGATGTTCATAATTTCTGGCCTCAACCAGATCACTAAGTTTAACATTCCTAACAGGCCCGTGCTGTTATTGTTGAGATAAGGATGTAGTTTTCTGGTCTGTCACCTGTGTTCGGTCATGATTGATCCCTTACCAAATCGACCTGAATTATCGGCATGGCAGCATCGTTGATGGCGACTTTCCGTCACACGCTGGATGCGATATGATACGATGCAGCAAAAGGAAGATTTGTATGGCATCCTACATTGGTCCGTCCCCCCGCGCTTTGAGCGTTGGTCGTCTAAACTATCGGCAAATCCTTCAACCTGAACGTTGACTGGGGTTATACGGTAGAGTTCGCACATGCGTGATGCAATTGAGGTGACAAATTGCTTCGGATTCCTGCGGGGTGAATTGTGGCCGAGTGTCTGATACTAATGGCTCTGGCAAACATAACGGTGGAACCGCTGGAGCGAGTGTTGAATAGTGATTGTTGTGGTTGTGTTTATCATTGTGATGACCCTTTGAGTGAGTGTCAAACACAATGAGGTATGATGTGTCCTAAACTGGCTCGCTGAAATCTGTGCACGCGGGAACGGGGTTTCGTTTTCTCCGGTCCGGTAGGGAAAGAGTACGATTGTGTGCCACCTGTGCCATCACCCAGTGTCTACAACGTATGCACATGTGCGCTATTTTGTAGTAAATCTTAGACCAATAGACGTAACTTCTGGCCAGAGCTTTGGTTCGAGTGATCCTTAGGAGAACCTTGTGGAGTTAAAGGTGAATGAGTTGTTGCAACGATGTGGGGACAATCACACGTTCGGCGTGGAGTCAACATGAAGCAACGATTGAAAAAGCTCTCATGGCACCAATGGTAATGAATGAATTTAGACTCCATTAATGATGCAGCCCAGCCTTCTTTCACGTACTTCATTAGTTTACAATTGCGATATTCTGGGTTGTGTTGGTGTAGGGATGTCATCGGAACCAAAATGTGCTTCACTGTATTGAGAATCACACGACTGATTTCCTGATGTATCTTGACATTAGCACTGATTGTCTCACAGTTGTCTAAGAGATGCTCAGAAATTAACCGTGGTATCGACGTCCAAAATAGGTCATCGATATGTGGTTGATGCTAAAGGCACGTTCCGGTAAGGCTAGAGTCCGTCTTTGTAGACGGCTTGCGGTGGTTGCCGTGATACCTATATGTGAGCCAAATATTGTCAGTAATGGTTTGTAGCCCGTAGGTAGCATGAAGCTGCTATCATTTATCATTATGTGAGTGATTTTAACAACAGATATAATAGCCAAATCTTCATTTTCCACTTGAGATTAATTTCTCTTTGCTGCAAATGACGATCTGGCCACATGAACGACTGTTTTCTCGGAGTTCTCGTTAAATTATGGGATAAAACATCTCTGATGTCATAGTTGCTTGAATCGGCGGCTGCCACAATCGGAAGGTTTTGATCACAATGTGGGAGGAGTGGACCGGTGGTCAATTTATCCCTTATCCAATCGACTGCTGTTTGACAATCAGTAAGCCAGTCTTACTTGACCCCTTTCATGAGTAAAGTGTTGGGGATGTTTGCAACTGATGCATTTTCAGGACGAAATTAGATTACTTCCTACAATTCCAAAGAAAGAAGGTAAAGTACACATGTCTGCTGGTGTTGGCACGTTGGAAATTGTTGACGCGTTACCTGGATTCGGGATTGCGTCCGTTATGATCAATGATAAATCGGAGATATTTAAGTTGTGGTTGGATTAGGTTGCACTTTTCCAGCCGTAAGAGTAATCCTTAATCCCTTATCCGATCCTAGGCCTTATCGAGCATCAGTGAGAGTGCATCTGAAGTCGCCCCCACGAGTAAGATAGCATCTAAGTAGGCTACGACACTGTGGACGAAACGGAGATGTTGAAAGTTGACTTGAACCGACTTAACTCCGAAAGGCAATGGGGTGAACCAAAACAATCCACAATGCGTGTTAAATGTCAATAATTTCCTTGATACTTGTTCCTGAGAGATCTTTAGGAATGCGTCAACTCAACCAGGTTTGGCAGAGATGTCTTTTGTAATGGGTAGTAAAGAGTTGTATTTGGCTGAAGAGCCTTACTTGGACCTGCGGAAAATCATACACCCACAGGAATGGCATATTTGGCCTTCCCTACTGCCACGATAGGAGCAGCGCAGAGTAATCGACATATTGTGTGACGGTTGTTTGTAGGCGGGTAAGTTCTTGCTCATCCCTGACTAGGTACTGTGAGTTTCGGAAAAGTGGTTTGGGATACACTATTAACTGTGACTAATTCCTCCGAATAAAGGAAGAAGTGACGAGGTGGGTTCAACGTGAAATTGACCAGCACCGCTGCCCCTCTGAATCTTCATGCTTGCGCAGTCCGTCAGCTTCTTCAATTGGTAGACACCCACTGGTCACGCGACATGAGACACAGCTCTGATCAGCGTTTGAAACCTTGTTACGTCACCCTAATCCTCGCTTCCTCCGTTTCGCCGAGGTTGGGTCAATAAGCATGCTGAAGCCAGCCCTGTGTGTTCGGAAGCAATTATCTGTGAGCTTAAGACTGCGATGGACATAGGGGTGAAACCTCCGTCATTCATTATACACCTGAAGCTTGTTTGGGCACACCCATAGTTATTTAGATAGTTACGTCCCACTTATTGTTAATGGCGCTGACGAGACAATAGGAAATGCATGCGTCTACCAGCTCCCTTCTTCTTACTGCATTGTTCAAACTATGCCTGAGCCTACGATTTGATAAAAATTATTAGGCCGTCCTGTAAACTACTAGGTGTCGATGAAACCAACGCTGTGTGCTCGTCAGTTGGAGCACTGGATAGATCCGGGGGTGGCAACGATGTTACCCAATGTCAATTTAGATAATTTGTCCAAACTGGTACTGCAGAACCTGAATTTGTTTA